GAACATAATTGAATTATTGCTAGTTTAGCATTCTTCTACGAGTACTTCGCGAAGGATAGATGATGTATGATGGCTAAACTGTGGACTTTGAACTTTTTTGTGTACATAATCATTTAGTTGTAGGAGTTTTTCTTTTTCTTTTTCATGTGATTGAAAGGGCACAAATTTCCGTGTATAATTACCGATGGAAACACCCCAACGACTTATGATCATGATTTTCAATTCGATTTTAGTAATTATGACATTAGTTATATTTCTTGACCTGGAATGCTCCATAAACGAATTTTTAATAATTATAACTTAATGTTATATTATTCTATATTTGAGCAGCTCAAATATATGAACTTAACAATGCTTAAAAAACGTATTACATTTACTTTGCTTTGTGTTCAGACTCGACACCTGCGTCCAGCACGGTCGTCAACGATTCTGCAGCCTCCCTACTGATGGAAATCTCTGAGCCGTTCATCGACCTGCTGCACTGCCCGGTATGCTTCGACATATTCCGCAACCCGAAGTGTCTCAGCTGCGGCCATTCTCTGTGCGTAGACTGTGTGGACAAGATCAAGGACAGCAACACTCTGCATTGTCCTATCTGTACTGTCGAAAACAGTGCTACTTCTTTACCAGAGAACTTTTCCCTCACAAGTCTGACAGACATATACAAGTCATTCGTCAATCAGTCGTGCTATAAATGCGGCAAGATCACAAGCGCCGCAGATCTGTGGATCTGCGATCAGTGCGACGTGAAATTGTACTGCTCGCGATGCGTGCTCAAGAGCCACAAGTCCTGTCGTAAGTGCTGATTGTAATCTCACGATATGGTTCCAAATTTTCTGGCTCTTAATTTTTTTGGTTCCTCAGCTTTCATTTCAGGAATAAATGTGTACATATACAAATAGTCTTGCTTCAAGATTTTGGTATTTGCATGTATGGAGCAAAGATCTCCTTCGATGCCGTTCATAAGCATGTGTTATGTAATGTTATTAATCAGCTTACTGAAAATGACAGTTTTTTCTGATAAACCCAAATCGTGTTGAACAGTAGGGAAAGAAAAAGGAAAGCTAGTGACGTGTTGAGTTCCTATTCTCTCTTATACTTGAGTAATGAGTACAAATTGTGATAACTTTCTTTGTTATACTAGGAATACTTGATTGGTGGCTGTGAAGCTCACGAGACCAAGAAATATTATCGGTTCAAGCCTCAAACGGCTCCTTGCTTTTGATCACTTCAAAATAGTTAGATGAGTACCATTATGCAGAAGATTGTGCGTTGTTGAACCACCTGGTTGCGAATGTTGACAAAAAATGATTGCTCGTTGCTCAATCAAAATGAAGACCAGCACCCTACTATGGAAAAACGGTGTTAGGAATGGGGCCTATGGCGGAATTGTAAGGATACTGACATCCTGAAGATTAGAATATTCCTTTTTTTCCCTTTATTCCTTCGTGCATTTACTGTCGCGACCTCGATCTCTCATCTATGAATGCTAATTTACATGAACGAAAGTCTCCTATCCATGAGGAATAATGTTTCACTCCAAAAAACCTTATAGAACCAAAACATGATACTTTGAGGAGAACGAATAATCAATAATAGTAAACAACGTGGGATTTTGCGAAGGGGGCTAAGGATGGTAATGATAATAAAACTATAAGAGCATTGGCATTTGCAACTAGGTGGTCACCGTCCCATGAAGTATACTGTTTTCTTTCCGTTTAGTGGTGTTCAGGTTTGAGTGACAGAGGTCCACTCGATTTTGCACGCCACTTCAAACATAGTTACAAACATAGTTCGCCGGACAGTAAAAGGGTTGCCCTTTTCAGATAGAGCTTTACAGTTCATTTTATAGCGAAATCACTATGCTTTTCACACGTTCTTCAGATTTTTTTTACCACATGTGAACACATGTTTGGATAAATGACTGCTAACGGTTTTGGACAACAATCGGACTTGACTTTTATAAGTATTGTTCGAGTTTATTTTCCGCGGACTAGTATTGTTGATTGAAATGCAAGCTTATTATTTTCTATTGAGAGGCAAGTACCTGATTTCAAATATGAGTTAGTACTAAAGTATTTTGGTTTGACGAAATGGTAGAGATATTGGTATTTGCCGAATATTACATGATTAGGGTTATAAGAGAAAGTAAAATAGTCAGTCATTTAGTAACATACAAAACAGCATTGTAATCAATATAAATAATAGACAAAAATTCTAATAGTCCTAGCAAATAGACGGCCAGGCGTAATCGAACAGAATATTATTGGGACGCCATAAGTGTTATAACTTATTCCAGTTATCTGCTGGTTCCATAATAGATTTTTCCGCGTCTTCCCTATTTCCAGCCGTACATGATTCACGTGTCCATCTGGTCTTGTCTCTGTACCTGTGGATTATATCAGAGCTTGCGTTTCAGCCGGTACGCCACTGGAATTTCGAGAAATCATGGCTGAGCATCGGTCGAAAGTAGAGCAATGGAAGAATGCCGCCGGCAACAAACTCATACAGGACATGAGTGAGATGTTCGACAGGACGACGGACGCGCTGCAGAGGCTGGACGTCAAAATCGCCCAGCTGACTAAGCTGGTGAAGAACGTGTCGAAAAAGTTCTCAATCGCCGTCGACTTCTACAGGCGTCGCTTGAAAAAGTTTCAAGTCAGATTCGAGGAAACCGACGAAGTAATTTCTCACCTACCGTTTGACTCGAAGCTGCCCAATGGTCTGCCGGTAAGTAAGACACGCCCATTGTCGTCATTCATTGGTGCAATTCATTCCAATCTCTTTAATTAGCCCTGTTTTATACTTCTTCTTAATTAAATGCAATTGTACCAATACCAGTGCTTGCCTGTCTCGTGCGATTTGTCACCACAAGCTTCCACGTCTCTCTTTCTGGTCATCTGAAGGTTGTTCGGTTTTGTGGTTGAAGTCCTTGGGTACCAGTTCGTGACCGGTGGAGTGCATCGATCATTGGTTACTCGTGAGATGTGATCTGCCCGTTGTCGTTTCTTTCTTGTGAAACTGATATGATGTCTCTATTAGGGTAAGTCTTCTTATTTCTATATTTTGAGGCATATTTATGATGGAATTTTCTAGCATCCCGCTTTCCATAGCGCACTCTTTCACTCTTGACGGTTTTTCGTCTTTTCGTTAATGCACTGATTTCGCAACAGGGTTCTCAACGCTTTCTTTCCAGCTCTGGACCGAAGTGATAAAAGATAATTAGCTGTTCCAAGCTGACATTCTCTGTGACTTCTGTGGATTCGCTTCTCATAATCTTTGTGATTATCCGAAGTCAAACTTGCTTGTTCTTTAACTCTACCTCGTCTAGCATGGCTTCACCTTCTTTTGTCTTCGTCTCCAACAGCACGATCGAAGATGAGTGAGCCGTCTGAGATCTAATTTGCTTGTTCCATCTGGGTCAAAGTCTTTCAGCTGGGGCCTTGCAACCGATTTGATATCAGTTCGTCACCATTGAAGTCAGTCCTCCATCCGACCTCTTTATTTACTTATACGCAAATATTTTGATCTGGAGTTGTTTTCTAAAGTTATAAATATTTTTCTTTGCTTCTGTCGAGATAAACCGCAAGCGTTGGTCGGCATGATAGTGGTTTCGTTGTTTTCTGATGACGGTTAATGTCTGTGTTTACTGAGACTTTCTTGGTACGCTATATTCACATAGGCTTCATTTTTGGTGTAGCCTGATGTCGCACAGCGGGTCTAATTAGCTGGCTAGGATTGCAAATCTGGATTCCTCCGTATGTTGTCCTGACAGCCGTTGTGCAAACTTCTCAGCAGAATGGCTGTCATCTTTCTGGCAGGATCCTAAAGAAAAAAACCGTTTGATGGATGAAATCGTCAGTGTGGCCTAATAGGCTTATAAATCATGAAATTCCGCCATTGCCATTCGCCAGTCTGCATTAACACATCGGTACCAGCTCCAGTCTCACGTGACTGGTGATTATATTCTCGCCGTTTTATATTCATTATAATTCTTTCAGTGTAGTTGATTTTTGTTATGTACACCGCTAAGGGAAAAATCAGTTTATAAGCATGTTATATTCCATTGCCAATATTATGAATATTATGTTTCAGTATTGCTTATTTGCTTGTGTATTGCACGATATTATTATGTCTCCTCTACAATTAAAATGTCTCTAGACAAGTAATGGATGCAACGTTTGGCACAAATTCTCAGGGATAATAACAGTTGCAGTCTGCATAATGTAAATGAGTAAACAGGTAAGCAAACAAGCAATTTAGTAAGCAGATAAACAAATAAGTAAGAAGCAAAGAAGTA